CTGCTGACCCTGGGCTCCACGCAGCGTTCCAACTTTGAAATACACAAGAGCCCCCGCTGGGGACTCTAGTACATTTCAAAGCTGGTCTGTGTGCAGCCTGGCGTCAACAGGACTTCCCGCTGACCCGGGCTGCACGTGGAGTTCCGCATTCCTCCTTTGATTTCAAAGCCTCGAGCTGGGCTCTTGTACATTTCAAAGGCGGAACACGGAAGTGCTTATTGACGAGTCAACTAGTGCTTATCGATTATTTGAAATTCTATCGACTTCTTGACTAGTAAATTAATTGCTACTTAACATCCCTAGGTGATCTTGATTTAAAAATCATTGGTGGAGAATCCACCACAACCTTAGATAAATTATTAATTTTCTCTCTCAAAAATTCATGCCCTATGTCTAGTCTGTATTTGTCTTGCTTAAAGTTCCAGCCATTGGCTCATTTTAGACCTTTCTCCAATAGCATGTACAGCCCATTTATATTGAGATCTGTCAGTGAGCCCTTCTGTGTCTCTGCAAGTCCATTTGTTCAAGAACTCCTAAACAATAAGAGCTAGACCCACCAAATGTGGTATGCAGCTTCCTCTTATCCTAACTTAAATCAAGGTCAGGGTTTGGTTGTGCCAAGAAAATGGGAAATGCTGGGAATGGGAATGGGAAATGCTGGGAATGCTGTTTTCCAGAAAATGGAAAGGGAAAGGCACAGAGAGGAGGGATGTAATACTGAGAACATCCACTGGGGGCAGCTAGTGCAAGAGATGATTGGGGGCACTTGGACCACCAACAGAGTGCCGTACAGGGCTGGAGGCTCTGCCATCTTGCCTATTAGCAGACCAGATAAGTAGTCCCTCTGCTCCAAACCCTTCCCCCTCAGCCCTTTGCTGCAGCACCAAAGGTAGGGAAGGCCCCTGATAGCCAGGTGGGCTGAGGGGAGAGAAAAGACTGGTGGTGGCTAAGGAGAGAAGGTGTGCTGGGGGAAACAAATTCCATGCTGGCTGGCGGGGTTGGGAGGAGAGAAGGCCTCTGCCAGCTGCAAAAGCTGGAGTGGGGGAGAAAGCCCCACCAGATGAGACCCCCCCCCATCCTGAGCCCCTCCTCACTCCCTAATCTTCATTTCCTTGTCCCCCCACAACCACAGCCTTCTGCCCCATCTCCGCTCCCCCCATTCCATGACCCTGACTCCTGCACTCCCTACACTGCCAGAGGACTGGGCAACACTGGGTAAGTCTTTTAGTTATTAAATACGAGCAGAAATACCCAGCATTGCCTGGGGAAAATATAGTAAAAGGTGCAATGAATGAAGCACAGCAATGACGTTGAAAAAGCTACCAGAGGAGAAGCTGTTCTGGATTTGGTTTTAACAAATAGGGAGGAACTAGTTGAGAACTTGAAAGTGGAAGACAGTATAGGGGACAGTGATCATGAAATAATAGAGTTCATGATCTTAAGGAAAGGTAGAAGGGAGACCAGCACAATTGAGGTTATGGATTTCAGGAAGGCAGATTTTGATAAGCTCAGAGAACTTGTAGGTAAGGTCCCATGGGAAGCAAGACTGAAGGGAAAAACAACTGAGGAGAGTTGGAAGTATTTCAAAGGGACGTTGTTAAGGGCCCAAAAGCAAACAATTCCGCTGTGTAGGAAAGATAGAAAATATGGCAAAAGACCAGCTTGGCTTAACAAGGAGATCTTGCATGATCTCAAAATAAAAAAGGAGTCATATAAAAAATGGAAACTAGGACAACTAACAAAGGATGAATATAGGCAAGCAACACGGGAATGCAGGGGCAAGATTAGAAAGGCAAAGGCACAAAATGAGATCAAACTAGCTACAGGCATAAAGGGAAACAAGAAGACCTTTTATAAATACATTAAAAGCAAGAGGAAGACCAAGGACAGGGTAGGCCCACTGCTTAGTGAGGAGGGAGAAGCAGTAACAGGGAACTTGGAAATGGCGGAGATGCTCAAT